ATTTTAATGACGCGTCTGAGCGGTTCGCGCGAGCCGCCCTATGAATAATTTGCACGACGTCGACGATCTGCGAGGATTTTCCTGCTAAGGTCGTATCGTCTCGATGACGCGGCGGGTGTGATTATGTAACGTGCGTCGCACCGTAAATGTGCTTCCAGTAGGAGACGAGACAAGATATCAATTCGTTGTACGTAAATTTACATGTATTTCCATGGGGTTTGCGAGCAAAATAAACGAAACACTCTCGAAATTTCTTCGAGTGAAACTCCACTCGAAAAACAGAGTGACAGCCGAGTCACTTGAATTCGAGTGATTTTTCAGTCGTGTAGAGCAGTGAATCGTTCCACTCTGAATCGTCGAGTGAATATTTTCATTGAAAATTGAAGAGTGAAGCTGATGTGCATTAAACTTTAATAAAGCCCAAGTCAAATCTAATTAGCCCTTATAATCGTGCAGCAGTGCATGCCACTTGTGTGCCACTGTATAACACATTTACTCTAATACCGTACAGTTTGAGTGTAATGTTCGCTTTTGTAATTTCGAGTGTATTTTCACTGTCGTCTCGAGTAAATAATCACTCTCTTTCTGATGGAGATTTCACTCCAAGAAGAGCTCATTTTCCCGTTTTAATCAACGATACACATTTCCGCCGAAATTCTTCTCCCACCCGCACAAAAGTCCATCGTGCCAAACGTAACTGCGCGCTGCGCTTCTCCGTCGTACATAAAATGGATATAAAAACTCTGATATTAAGGCACGACGCGGATATTACTTGCCTTCTTATCGGTCGTTACGCGAGATAAGCGCGAAACTTGATCGTCGTAACCCGTGAGCGTGTTCAAAATGTGATATTACTTTCCGCGAGAAATAAGCATGAACTTCACCCCGGCTCTATTTACCGTGAATATCTGGCTAAAAGGGTCCTCTCGCTCGATTAGACATATTGCACTTTTATACGCGACGAACGGTTGAACCGGTGTTTTCGAGCGACATTGTCCGAGAGATCGTCCTTTCTTCTTTTCGCAACAGCAGCGACCGGTGGATTTCGCGTGCCACGAGCAATCGCCGTTGCGGACGCCTTTGATCGACCATGCGACGTTTTTTAATCGCGTTAAACGTTCCGTCGTTGCCCTCAATCATCCAGCTTCCACTTGTCACACCCGCCCGTCCCGACTCCACCCGACCGACGGCTCGACCTTCCCGGCTTCCTCTCTCCTCCTTCGCTCTTCTCTCCTCCACACTGTGTGCGCGCGTGAGACGTCCGTTGTTTAATTAAAACCAGATCAAAATGACGTCCGCCGTTTCCGCACGAAACCCATGCGACGTTTCAACGGCGACGACTTTCAATTAATTCAACGTCGGTCTCTCTCGTTGGGCAATACCGAACGATGACGACGGCGCCGATGTGATCCGACGTTCCATGAACGTTACGCAAGAATTTACGACGATGGATCTTCGCGACGCGGACAAACACTCCGAAGATTCCGCGACCAAGTTTTACATAAATGCGCAACCGAAAGAAGATGGAAGCACCCGGTTCAGTGACGCACGCTTCCACCACGCGAGATGCTCTCTCGAAAATCCTTCGAGAGAAATTTCACTCGATACGTAGAATGACAGTCCATTCACTCGAATTCGAGTAACCTCTCGCTCATAGATATAGTGTGAATTCTCCATTATCGAGTGGATATATTTATTCGAAACTGAAAAGTGAATCTAATGTATTCAAGCGTTAATAAAAAACTTCAACATTTATCACGCCGTAACTCGCTAGTTTTTCTAATTGTTCGCATCATGTCCAAATACATGCATACATTATAATGTAAATATGACTGTTCGGTTAATATATCATTTCGACAGCTTGGCATATCGTGTCGTCGTATCATATTACATTTAGACATACTAAAAACGGTTCGTATGATTAGTGAAAGTTTGAGCCTGGTAAATATTAAGGTTTTATTGAAGCTCAGTGTACTCCACTATCACACAGTAAAAAATTTTGTGTAAAACATGGTCCACTGAAATCAGGTAAAAATTGGTTGAGGAATGGAGTAATTACTCACTTTGAATCTAGCATTTTTTCTGTTGCACTCAAAGTTCAAATTAAACATTCATTCTTGTGATTCCGAGTGACGGTGTCTTCACAGTCGCTATGAGTGAATTTTCGCTCTTGTTGAGTGGAGGTGTCACTCCAAGAAATTCAGAGAGGACGCAACAAATGGAAAACATGTATCATGCAAATGGACTCTCGTTTCCTCTCGTTGTGAGAGATAGAAAACGATATCCAAAAGTTCAAATAATTATTTATGTATTCGGTGCCCTCTCGATAAATTTGCCGTGCGAACACCGCAATGGACCTTTTTAGATTTCGTACACGTGCATAATCCACCGGCTCGGTGATATTTGTTTAATTCAGCGCAGCTTTCTACGCTGAAAATTTTTAATTTCATAATACTTGTCCTGCAGTTTGCGTAACACGCACGCGAGCGCACGAGCACAATCGCTGAACAAACACCGTGCGACAGGGAGAGGAACAGGATGGGAATAGCGCGCGAGCCTCCATTGTTCGCTGCATAATCTCCAGGCGCAATTTCGGACGCGGGATATTTGTGCCGGAAAAACATTTTTGGCAACGTACGGAGGACGATATCGGCGGCTGTCGGGACGATAATCGCGATCGATTATGATCTCGTACGTGCGTGCGTGCGTGCGGGTTGAGTATACGCAGGTATTAAGCTACGTCTATCGATTAGATAACTATATCGTTCTTTGCTCTATATAATGCGGCTACTCGAGATGAGCACACAAGGATTGTTTGCTTGCGATATTGCGACGACACGCGGGAAATTTACATTAACATCCTTTAGTCCATCTCACACACACGGCGTATAATAATCTCGTGACACGCCGCACGCCGTGTTATTAATGGACGCGCGGCGATTACGATCGCGCGCGTTTTACGGATTTTCCGTCGACTCGTGTTTGCTTTCCGCCGAAAATTCCGCCCGGTCGTCCCCTTTTTCGCGAGCGTTTAATGCCCAACTTCATATAGCTTTGTGACGGTCTCCGAAATTAAAATTCCTAATTCCGCGATTCTCCGCAGGAAGATTAAAAAATTAAAATTTCGAAACGCAAAAGCAAAATGACAAGTTAAGGGGAAATTCGTTCGAAATTAAATGCAGAATGCAGCTTCGTTAGCCGTCGTGGAAATCTCGTAGCCGAATCTACAAGAGACATTCCTCAGCTGCATATCTCGCGATATAACGCAGAAACGATTGATTTCGCTATTAATAAAAATTATTTACAATGGAATTCGCAAAAAAGAGATACACGGGCGATATGAAAAATTCCTCGTATAGTTTGAAAAATTATTCCAATTTCCTATTTTCTACCATTTATTTCAAAATATTTCGCACGATTGCGAGTTCGAATTCACGTCGAAACAACGTCGGGAATTGCATTTTTAAAGCATGATGGCTCCGATGAAAGTTAAATTGTCAATATAGGACCATAAAGACTTAAACATGTTTTAGTGTCATACGGTGTGTTCCGACATAAGGAGAACACTAAAATATCTCTCTTGTTTTGAATAATGGGAACTCTTTAGAATCGATCAAAATTTCGTATCATTAAAAACGAAGGGAACACTTAGGTGTTCTCTTTATGTTGCGGCAGCCTGTATATTGAGCGGAAAAAATTGCGCATTGCTCGACGGTGCATGAGTCACCGAATTCACGAGATCATCAGCACCGTGACGGACAAAAATCGTTCTGGCGCTTCGGAGGAGATGAGAGAGAAGCAGCCCCGATCAGCGCTCTCTGGCCGTCACTTAGTATGCGTCTCCGCCACTCGCCATTATTCGAACGATCTCTTAAATCTCGTACGCAGTTACGGTGATGGGGCATCTCGAATACGAAATCGCCGAGGTCGCGCGCCACGGGGTTACACCGTCGTTTCCCCCTCCGATGATCCGAGACCGACGGGGAATTCGGACCGCCCAAAGACAAACGATCGAATCTCTCGGACGGGTCTCGCGATCGCGGATCGTCGCCGTCTCGAGTCGCGGCAGGATGTTTGTTTCCACTTCGAGAGACCTTTGTCATGAAGCTCGGTAAATTCGCCGATGAACACGTTCCGAAGTTGGGCACGTTCCGAGTCTCGGTATTGGGTTATCAGCCGAATTTAGATGGCAGCGGATACTCATTGGAATGGACGCGCACGTCCAAGGATGACACAAAGTCCTTGTGTAACCTCAGCCCTCGTCTCGCGTCGATATCAAACATATCGTGTATATTCTTCATATTGGACCAAGTTTACGCGAGAGCTAAATGAGGTTGAAATTACACAGGCAACCCTTTAAACACTTCGAAATCAAGGGAATATTCTTCCAAAACGATTATAAGCAGCCGTCCAGCTGCCTCTCGTTCAGATCCGGGAAGACGGGCGGCTTTTTTGAGAAGAAATACTTCAAAATTTATCTATGGGATATAAGGTTTATCTCACGGAAATATAAATTTTATTTCCGTGGAAATAAATCTTATTTCTCTGCGAAATAAACTTTATATCTCACGAGTAAATTTTTTTAAGTACTTTCTTCTCGGTGTAGATTGTAATTTTCATGAATGAACCGCTTCCTGATTTCCTATACTTGTTGCACGTCTTTCGGTGTTATATCCCTCGGATTTGCATAAATTATAAGAGAAAGTTTTATGGTGTGCAGCCTCCCTTCACCGTTCGGGAGTTTCAACCCCTTATTTATTCAGGACTGATAACGATCCTCGGAATTAGGGAGCTATCCGAGCCTGCTATTAAAGCGCCTTATTTATATTTCCTTTAATGGTGGATTATGGTTTTCAGGCCTATTTATCCGCCGGCCGGTTATTTATCAATCATTCCCCCCGAACTTTCTTATCCACCGCGCGCGCGCAGCACTCACGACTCGTGAAGGATTTACGAGGATCCTCCGAACGGAATACCGCGGAGAAGGCACTCTCACTCACCCTTGCTGGGTACCGCCGCCGCGCCGACGAACTGAATAGCGAGGAGCGCGCCGATCAGGAGAAACTTGCCGGGACCAGCGCGTTTCGTCGTGACCGAAAGCCCTTCGACAGCCGACGAAGCCCTCAGCTGACGAACAGCGACACGCACCCCCATCCGCGACGGATGGCACCTCCGTGAACCCCCGTCGCCGGCGTCCGATCGGAATACCGAGGTCGTCCTCGTCACGGCCATAACTGATCACTGAAAATCCTCGGTACCGGAGCGCTGAACGCGCGCGGAAACGTCACCAGCGCGCACCACTCGGAGGGGATCCCTCCCGCGGGATCCTCGGGAGCTTCGTCGGTGTGGCGGAAAAAATCACGACACTCGGATCGTATCACACTGGCGTACAACCCTCACTGCCGTCCGTCTCACCACCGCTGAACGGGAGCGAGTCGAGCTCCACCGCGGTCACTCGGCACTGGTGACCGCTCGCGTCTCCAACTGTTCCCAAACAAAACACGCCGAACGTCACTCGCGAGAGCCGCACCGGCGCGGTACCTGGCGCCTTCGCGAGGCCGCTCGGTTCCACCTGGAACTAACCGTGCCGGGCGTCTCCGTAGGGCAGGTCCACCCCCATAACGAGACGAGACACCACCACCGGTCTCGTCGGTGTGGTAGCGCGCGCGCCAGCGAGACGTGAAAGAAAGGAACCACTACCCTTTTTTGCTCGCGCAGTCCGTTAGCTCGCTGGTCCCGAGGTGAGCGGTTTCGAGACTTCGGCGAACGCGACTGCACGCGTCGCGACGCTGTTTTCCCTGCGCGACGGGAAAGAGGGGGCAGGCAGAAAGGGTGAGATCGAAGGGGGAAGGGGAAAGTCACTCGCGCGCGGGTGGGCGGGTCCCACCGCGAACCCTCGAGAAAGTTGAAGAGGGCGGAAGGGGGTGGCCGGGCGGTGACGGTGGAGAAACGAGAGAGAGAGGAAAGCGATAAATAGTCAAACAGACGGATGAAGAGCGAGAGAGCAACGGAAGAGGACAGAAGGAGAGATGTGGTGTACACCGAATTTTGAAAGCACGACTGAAGCCGCGTGTCAGATCCCCTGGCGCAACGTGCTGCCGCGTCGAGACGCCCGGCGCTACTGAGGTGAAGGAGAGCGCCGGAGAGCCCGTTCGGGGGTTGCTGCCGCTACGCGAGATCGGGAGGAAGTGGCGGCGCAGGGGTGGTCGGGGGTAGAGGGGCTGTTGGGGGTTTGAAGGGGTGGCGGCGCGGCGCGCCTCTCGTCGGATATTCTCGCCTCTCTCCGGCCTTCTCCCGTTCGCTCCTTCTCTATCCGTTTTTCCACTCTCTCTCTCTCTCTCTCCCCCCCTCGTTCTCCACTTTCTCCCTCCCATTTTTCCTTTTCTCCCCTTTTTCTTTTACACGTCGAATTTAATGCACGGCCCTTATTTTATTCAGCATTGCAATTATTTGTATCGCGTTCGTACATTTTTTTCCTCGCACGCGTATGAAGTATTGTTGCGTTGGTGCGGAAACGCAGACTCGGCAGGCAGACTTGGGTCAATATTACTTCGCGAAACGAAAATTCCGACGGTGAGGTTTGCATTTCGCCTAGACGAAACTTCTCGCTCTCAGCCGCGCTCGTTCCATTCCGGACGCCTTCCAGGTGAGATGAAGCCGGCTACCGAATCAGCGACTCCTCGACCGACCCGCGAACATTATTTCTTCAATCGAACCGTTTTCCTTCGTGGGACTTCTTAAGGCGTCCGGAAGTACGCGACAAATGTCATTACCACGGGTCGAACGACTCATCCTTCTCTCTTCCTCTCTTTATGCGGGAGATACCAAAATATACGGTAGATACGCCTCTGAGCGCGCGAGATTTCGTCTGTGTGGGTGGGAGGCAAACTTTAATAAAGTAATATCGATCCGGAAATCGAGACTACGCTTGCTTTGAATTCTCATATTTATTGGCGCTCCCGCGAATACTATAGATTCCGTTTGTTACGCGCCCGCTTACGCCTGTATTATTTTTCGGTTCTTACTCTTACAGACAATTTGATCCTACATTCGCCATTCTCCCTTTCTTCCCCCACCCCTTCTCCCTCTCTCTCTCTCTCTTTCTTTATCGTTTTCTCTCTTTATCTTCTCTTGCGTAATTCGTTTCCGCGCACGCGAACGCGAAACGCGGCGCCGAGTACAGCGCGATGCACTTGCTAAAAAGCGAAAAAAAGCGAAAAAAGAAGGGAAAACAATCCTCAACTATGGCGTACACACGGCTTTTACAACAAACGGTTTCGATTAAACGCGATGGATCGAGCCGGCGCGCTTTGTGCCCAGAGCTGCATAAATTCGACAGAATGAACGGGGTACGAGTGCATCTCCACATACGCGCGCTCATGCGGGGACGGTCCGCAACTGTTTTACATATTATTATTTTTACCGTTCCGATCCGGCGACTGGTGGGCCAGCAGAGACGAAATCACCGCGTGGATATGTTTGCTGCGCGGGGGAAATTAGCGAGTAATTCGCGCGTCGATTCGCAACGGTTTGTACGCGCGCGCGCGCGCGTTGCACTTGATATCTTTCGTCGCGATTGACAGCCCTCTCCTCCCGTTCGCTTTATGCAACCGCCCGCGTAACAGCGTCGACGATTAATCGTCCACCGAAATGTTAAATATGTGACAGATACAAAAACGGGTAAAACGCGACCGCGCGCAGCCAGGTAGGATAGGTGGAGGTATGGAGGTTAACGCGATCTGTGTGCGAATTCGACAACTGTTGACAGCCGTGCACGCAGCGACGCGCGCGTACTCTCTCCGTGTAATTTTTGCGCGGCCGATGTTAGGGAAAACAATGTCCGGCAAGAGATAGGTAGACAGATAGGTGGAGATAGTTACGCGGAAAAAAAGCTTGCTTGATTCAACCGAAAAGTGAACTACTTGGTTGTCTACTTTCTGGTTGATTCAACCAAACTTTTTTTCACGTACGTAAAGAAAAAAGTTTCTTTGGATTTAATAAAATGTCTCCAATTGATGCAAATTTGGAACGGAACGAACAAACGAATGACTGATTTAACCAACAGGATTGTCTGGTATCTTAGACAATAAATCTTTACATCAAATAACATATATTATCCTGTACTCCTGTTGTCGCCCTGTTTCTGATGTTACCTTGGGAGATGTTATTGTTACAAGATGTAACTATCTTGTAACAAGTTGCATCTTGTAACAATAGAGGCAATTGTCACATTGTACACAATTGCTAGTATACAATTATCTTGTGTAACAATTGTTACACGAGAGAGAGAGGGGGGGGGGCGGATGAGTGGGAGAGAGAGAGAGAGGGTGGTAATCAGGAAACGATCGAAATCGGATTATCGGGCGCCCGATCAATCGACAATCACGTACGGCTTCGGTCGCTGGCGTCGTGCATACATTGCGCACGGTGTTGACACGAATCGGACCGACAGCAGATAGATCGCTAATTTCGCTCGGTGATTCGCGTCTCGAGTTCGAGCACAGGCAAACAGCGTCCATCTGCACGATTACGATAATGATTTCCGCGTCTCGCGGTGAGTTGCACATTAGCATTGAATTCGTGTAACGGGGGACATGCGGGGAAAGAAATGTAATCTTCTCAGCAATACGTCGAGCGTGTCTCTGTCGTCGCATTCATACTTATTGCCATATTCGTAAGAAAAATAATCTAAATGTCGAATTTAGTCTGTGCGCGCGTGTGGTCAATTCAGCGGATATTACCAAGCACAGGACGAGTTCTCTAGCGCGTCTCGGGGGAGAAAACGCCGGACAGAAATGACTCCCACGTTTGTTCCCGTTTCAAATATTAAAGCGTCCAATTAGCTCGATGGTAACACGAACTTGCGAAACCGCTATCTACCTGGTCGATGCATTAAGCTTTGTCCACGTGCTGCAAACACTGTGGTCACAAGCGCAGAACCAAAGAACAGAACGAACAGCGATGAGGTGTACGGGTTGCGTCAGAATCTCGCTCGGTTTCCGCGGACGCTGCAAGTCAATTTGACGAAAGTGGTTATCCGGAACACTGGCTCAAAGTAATGCGTTCATTTTGTAACTATGAGCGATTGGAAAAGTCAAAATCCCTTTTCAGAATAATTATTTACGATATAATAAGAATCTTGAGTGAACTTTCTATTGTATAACCGAATTTATGATTCAGTAAGATATTGAAAAAATATTCAACCCTCTGTTACGTTTAAAAAATACTTAATATGAATAATAAGATGAAGGATCCCTTTATCTCTATGTGAAATCTAATCGTGCCATTAAGGGAAATTAGCATCGGATTCGATAACAAGAAACGCCACGCGAGCTCTGAAACAACCAGTATTCTGGGACGTACACGGAACGACATCCGATCTCACGGAAAATCAAAACTTAACGGTGGACACGCTTTGCCGGGGTTAATGCGCGTTGCTCGTTTCCGCTGCGCTGCTGGAAACACTAATTCGCACCGTCGTGACTGTCGCAGAAAGGCACGGCCGTAGTCTCCGAGGAGAACAGAAAAGAGGAATGAAATATTATACGAAACTACGGCTGTGGATTGAAATGGACGACGAATTTCGTGGCCGCGAAACAGCGAAACCACAGCTACGCCGTTCGATAAACACGGGTTATAGTATTCGTCATTTTACTACGGATTCGCTGACCATGGAATTTTTCCTCAATAAAGAAATTTAATTAAACTTCGCACGCGCACGGGTATTTTTTTACGTAGGCTGTGGTAAATTTCCTTCGGACAGAAATTGTGCTATTTCGCATTGCATCTGTCATAATTTTACGTATATATTTTATAAAATATTACATCGGTCGAATATTAATCACTAATATTCTTTTCGAACGCTTTATGTAATGTCTGTCTCTACTTGTTATAATAAATCGAGTAACACGACAATAAAATCAGCGAGTGTTTTTCCTAAAGTGTTTTACAGCGGCGACAGGTGTAAAGTAAAACACGGTAGTCTCTTCTGCTCTTTTTTTCTCCAAGTGAAAGAAAAAGCAGCATGGATTTTTATACGACGCGTAAACTCGGTACGCCGGAGCCTCGTGACACTGAAAGTTCAAGAATTATACGTCGTTGGTCGCCTATTCGCGTAGACATAATCAACTGTCGAGGCGAGAAAAACGCGATGTAACTTCACGAAAGAGACGACGATCGATTCTGAATAACTTAAGGATTCCTCGGGAATCTTTCGTGGATAGAGGGAGAAAAAGAGCGCGCGCGAGCAACGGCACCGTCGAAGTTTTGTCTGCAACTTCAAAAGACTTGGCGCCAACACCAATCGAGCGTGGCAAAGCGAGCTTCATGAGCGTTA